TGTTAGACAGTTCAAGGATAAAAAACCGATTTTGTCATGATGTTCTGAGATGTTTTCATAAGGATTGAGAGGTTGTTTAAGGTTGTACGATGCTATGTGGTAAAGTTGGTTTATGTACATGCTATATGGAGTAAATGGTGATTGATTCGTACATGCTTAGGGATGATATATATTGAATGTTTGAAGTAGGTATTCTAATATGATTTGTTATGTGTGTATGTTGATATGTGGATAAATGACCTTATGGATTAATTAGTGGATGTTTATGTGTTTAGTAAGGTTGACCTCAAGGTGTGATATCATCAGATTGGAGTTGAGAGTGAGGATTATCCAAGACAGCTTTAGGCTAAGTTATCTAAGTATGATTTTTGGTTTATAAAGTGAGTTTTCTAGGTCTTTTAAATTTTAATGGAGGTATAATGTAGATCTATCTAAGATATAAGTTGTGCTTAAGTGCATGATACCTAAGTCAATTAGACAGGTTAGGAGTTTTCTTAGATTAGCTTATTATTATAGGAGAGTTATTGAGGAAATTTCTAAGATAGCATTACCTTTGACTAGATTGACCAAGAAGAGAGATTTGTCTTTATGTAGGATAATAAGTGAGAGTAGTTTCCAAACTCTTAAGAAAAGATTGGCTAGTGTTAATATTACCAGATTTTAGTAAGTCTTATGTGGTATATAGTGATGCTTCTAAGACGGGTTTGGGTGGAGTGTCGATGCAAGAAGGAAAAGTAATAGCTTAGGTTTCTAGGCAACGGAAAATTCATGAGAGGAATTACTTTACCCATGACCTTGAGTTAGTAGTTATGATTTATACCAAGATTTAGATACACTACCTATATGATTCTAAGCTTGAGGTATTTAGTGATCGTAAGAGCCTAAAATATTTTCTGACCAAAGGAGTTGAATATGAGACAAAAGAGATAACTGGAATTTCTTAAGGACTAGGATTTTGATCTTAGTTGTTATCTGAGTAAAACCAATGTGGTGGTGGATGTTTTAAGTAGGAAACCTCTACATTTATCTTTCCTTATGGTTAGAGAGATAGATCTTTTGTCTTGGTCTAAGGATTTAAGTTTGGCTTATGAAGTTACCCTTAGTAGTGTGAGACTAGGTATGACTCGAGTAACGAGTGGATTGCTGAAGGAAATTGAAGAAGCATAATTAGTTGATTCATTTTGGTAACAAGATATGAGGCTATAAGACAAGGTCGTGGATAAGAGTTTGCCTTGGGTATAGATGAAGTGGTAAGACTTGGAGATCGAGTATATGTACCCAGTGAACTTATGCTTAGGTGCTTAATCTTTGGAGAGGGTCATAGAAGTAAGGCTAATATTGTAGATGCCTTGATTAGGATAACCATTCATCTATCGTTTTTATGATTAAAAGGTTGAATTTGATTGAAGAGTTTAGAGACTTAAGCTTGGTGTGTGAAATTATCCTTAGGAGCATTGAATCGATTTATGTTGAAAGTGACTAGTGAATTAATGGATGAGATTAGAAAATCCCAGGTGTCAGATCCTTTCTTAGTGAACCAATTTGATAATATTGGTAGGATTATAGATAACCTTTACTGAGTAGGAATCGACGTTATTTTGAGGTGCAAGAACAAAATTTGGGCGCTTAGTAATCCTGGATTTAGGAAGATGATCTTAGATGAAGGACATAAGAGTACTCTTAGCACCTATTTAAAAACTACTAAGATGTATCAGAGTGGCGTAGCGGAAGCGTGATGAGAAATGTTTATGAAAATGCTATTTGGCAGTAGAGAGCAAGATCGATGAAGTTTATCTGTTCAGGTTTTCGGTAAATTTCGGGGACGAAATTTCTAAAAGGGAGGGAGAATTGTAACACCCCCAGTTTTCATGCTTTTTAATAAGGGTAATTTAGTAATTTTTAGTGTGACTTAGTAGCCCAGAACGGGCCGTTGCCAAATTCGAACGAGCCGTTCCAAACTACTAAAACAAGCATAATTTAGTAGCCTAGAACAGGTCGTTCCCAAACTGGAACAGGCCGTTCCAAACTACTAAAATGGCCTACAAATTCTAGATGGGAACGGGGCGTTCCAAACCACCCAAAAGGCTTGTAACCCTATTTGACAACGGACCATTCTGGTTTTAGAATGGGCCGTTCCAAATGAGAATTTAACACACGATGAAAGGATTCGGAATGGGCCGTTCCGGATTCGAAACAGGTTGTTCTGGCTGTGAATAATCAATTTTATCCTGACTCACAAAAAAAATTAAATGGACATCTACTATGAAGAGGAGGAGCTCCCAAAGTATGGAGGCAACACATTATGACAACAAGAAAGTTTGAAGAAATTTTTTTTAAGTAGCCCAGAACGGCTGTTCCAAATTCGGAACGGACTGTTCCAAGTTACAAAAAAGAACAACAACCCTAATTGAGAACGGGCAGTTCAAAAATGGGAACGGGCCATTCCAAGTCGATGAAAAAACCCAAAATCCTAATATGGAACAGGTCATGCCAAATTTAGAACGGGCAGTTTTAATTTTAGAACGGGTCGTTCCAGGTACTAAATTAACACAAAATGGCAAGATACAGAACGGGCCGTTCTGATTTTGGAATGGGCTGTTCTGGCAACTTCTGATGTCTATAAATAGACGACGCAGGCACAATTTTCGAGGCCCAAAAAAATTCGTCCAAGACTCCTTAGAGCTCGAAATTTCTCTTTCTCTCTCCTTTGTATTTCTTGAGATTTTGTGAGGAACATTGTAGTGTGTTAGGTCGCCAGAAAGCTCCTAATAAATTGTCATATTTGAAAATTCAACAAGTTCAAGCTTCTCATTTGGTATCATTTCTTTTCTTTTTTTATTTATTATTTATTATTTATTTATTTAATAATTGTGTGTACATAGTGAATATGATTTGTTATCTTTAAATAGTTGTTTAAAAAAATTTAATATATAACAAATAACAACGTCGATTGAAGAACATTGTTATCTTCGACGTTACTTGATTTTAAGGGTTTAATGATTAGCCATTTGCTAACTTAAATTCTTATACAAGTTCCTCTTTTTTTTAAAAAAAAAAAAAAATAGGAAATAAATAGAAGAGGTTTATTTCACATATAAATTATCTTCTTGTGTGCAACGATTTATGATGTTAATTGAGTAGCCTTTCTACATTTAATATCATGTAAATCGTAAAAACATATAGAATAGTCATTTGCTATCCTAAGCTTTTATGCACAAGATAAATTAAAAATTATCATTTCATGAAAATAAAAAACGATTATCAATAACATTAATTGAATAGAAATTCTATCTTTAATGTTATTGCTGGGGTTTATTGATTAGCCATTTGCTAACCCAAATCCCTATGATTTTCTAATAGAAATACAAAAGAAACATTTCTCAAATTTTAAAAAAATATATACATATATACATTTCTAGGAGTAAATTAAATATTTATAAATTTATATAATTTTGTGCAATTAATTAAAGGTACTATTTTTACAGGCGTCGTAGGGTGCTAATTACACATAATTGACTCCCGAACCCAGTTTCAATTTTAAAGGATTATCTTTTAAAGGGTTTTCCAATGTTTTTCCCTTGAATTAAAATATTGGTGGCAGCTCCATTGAAAAAAATGTCTGCGTCATCCCGTCGTGATCCCTGTTACGACAGATGGCGACTCCACTAGGGACTTTTGAGAGTCAGGCCTTATTTAATTAATTGCGCAAAATTATGACTTTATAACTATTAAATTTTCCTTTTTATTTTATTTGTTTTGTTGTTTTCTTTTTTTCTATCCATGTTTTGTTTGGATTTAAGCTTAAATTAGAGTTTTATTTATTTTATTTGCATGTCTGTTTGTACCCCACACACCTACTAACACTTGTACCTCACACACTTTGGGCTCTATACCCGAGCCTGTGCGAGCCTAAAAAGAGAAGGTGGCTTGATGACTGTTATTAAGGGGCTTGATGCTCACTTGACCATTGTTGAGTTACTGCTCAGGTTGTTACTAGTAGCATGAGTTAATCATATTGAGAGGGTATGTTCCCTACTTATGATTGATTCATGCGTTAGGTCCTTATTTATATGATAAGGGCAACCTGGGGACCAATAAATCTTGAGGAGTTTTTAGATCCACCCACAAAACCATGCACTAATTGGTGGACTTAATGACCTTCCAAAGTAGGGTGTTAACCTTAGAAATTTCCTACCCTAGGTTTACCGTAATAGGTCACATTGTACTACTCTCTATCCCTCTTTCCATATATGTTCATACTAACAAAAAAAAAACATATACATCCATGCATCATACATTTATATCCAATATCATTTTTGTAATTAGGTTGCTTTTCTTGCCGAAAATAAAATATATAAATAAATAAATGAAGGATAAATGATAAAAAGTCATGCATACATGCATATTAGGGGCATAGTAAGTCACATTTTAATTAAGTCTTCGTCTCATTTTTTTCTTTTAAAACCTTAAAACAATTGATAGTATTCAATATGGAGGAGATTCAAAATCATGCTAGCAATGCATCAGGGTTAAGCAAGAGTATCAGGATAAATGTGCTAAAAAAAATCTCCAGAGGGTAGATAAAATCTGTCAAAATAATAGCACATTTGACTTGATATATTACTTGTTTTAGACATCATTTATTGAGGAGAGAATTCTCCCTTGAATGATTGTTAATCAAATTTTGATCTTGAGATGTTTGATCCTTGTTTGAAAATGTGGTTCGTGTCGTTGCATTGCTAGTAAGATGACCTTATTCATTGAGGAGTGAATGCTCCCTTGAAATAAGTGTCAACTGTTGTATAACTTAAGGGGTTTTTCCTCTAGCATTAAAACGTGGGGAGTCGCTCTTCAATTTGGATACAAAGTCAATCTTTTCCAAAATTTATTTCTTCTTCCTTTTCTACTCATAAATTCATTTTGCATCAAAAAGTGATAAAGCAAAAAACAACAAAGTGTCTCCTCGGCATCCTTACAGGACACGCTCTCAGTCTAAGATCATGGATGAGATGGAGGAACGCAATGAAGAATTGAGGAATGATATCAATCAATTGAAGGAACAAATGACCCAAATTCTAGAGATGTTGCAGTCTATACAAGTGAAAAATGTAGAAGGGACCCCTCAATTAATCAGAGGAGAATTGTCAACTTCTCCTGCGTATCCACCTGGTTTTACCTCAATCCCAGCACAACCATATCTTAACAAACCCAGTCAACAAGTTGATCCTCCAGAGGTCCAATGGCCACCATATGGCCTTCCGCCCAACTACATACCTCCAATAATCATAGATCCTCCGAATAAGCACCAACCATTGGTGAATCATCCGCCTACACAAATGCAACCTACCCAACCTGAGGTTTCAATCATGAATGTCATCTCTTATAAACATCAAGTTCCCTACCAACCCCAAAATTCTAATTTTATCAACCAACGGAATCTTCACCAAACTTCTGGGGGATATCAACCAACCTCTGGAATTGAGCATGTTCAGTCTAGTGAGAAGTTGCAAATGCTAGAAGAGAGGCTAAAGGTTGTGGAAGGAGGTAGTTATGATATCGGTGAAGCTGTCGATCTTTGTTTGGTTCCAGATATAGAGTTCCCCTCAAAGTTCAAAGTGCCCGAATTTGATAAATATAAAAGAACAAGCTGTCCAAAGAATCACATGACCATGTACTGCAGAAAGATGGCAGCGTATGCTCGTAATGATAAGTTGCTTATTCATTGTTTTCAGGATTCTTTAACTAGGGAACTTTGAGTTGGTATATACATCTTGAACGGGCTTATATCCACTCCTGGAAGGATTTAGCTGATGCTTTCCTTAAACAATATAAATATAATATTGACATGGTTCCAGATAGATTTAAACTACACAACATGTCTAAAAAAGATGGTGAAATGTTTAAGGAATATGCTTAGAGGTGGAGAGAAGTGGTAGCGCAAGTGGAACCTCCTTTGTCTGATAGAGAAGCGGTAGCCCTGTTCATTGATATTTTACGAGCACCATTCTATGATAAAATGATTAGGAATACTTCATCAAATTTCTCTGATATAGTCATCATTGGGGAAAGGATTGAGAGTGGTATGAGTAGTGGGAAGATTGCAGTTGACTCTCTTGAAATAGCTGGTTCAAGAAAATTTTCAAATGGTGCAGGAAAGAAAAAGGAAGGAGATACAAATGCAGTGACATTCAACTCCCCTAGGTTACCTAACAACCAACCTCCTTATTTCTATACCCCTCACATGGCCTATCCAAATATCACTGCCATCTCACCATATCCTCACCAACCTATTCATCAAGCTCTGCAAGCTTCACCCGCAACACCTATTGCACAACCACCTTAATCTACCCAGCCATGGAACCAAAATTCTAGCCATATGAGGTCACAAAATACCCAAGATCGAAAACCAATTAAGTTTGAACCTATCCCTATGTCCTATACTGAGTTGTTCCCTCTCCTACGACAAAATTCACTAGTAGTACCTTGCCCGATGAAGCCCATAGAACCACCATATCCTAAGGGATACGATGTTAATGCCAAATGTGATTATCATGCGGTAGCTATTGGTCACTCCCTTGAAAATTGCAGAGCACTAAAAATTAAGGTACAAAGTTTGACTAAGACTGGGAGGTTAAACTTTAAAGAGGATAATCCTAATATTGGGAGCAACCCTCTACCAGGTCATGGATGTAGACACCCAAATTCGTCTGGGGGGCATACAAACAAGATAGGACATCATAGGGCCCAAAAACCCAAATTAACTTTTTTTAGTGGCCCGGAACGGGCCGTTCCAAAATCGGAATGGGCTGTTCTCGAATTGGAACGAGCCGTTCCAAGGCTTCTCAATGGCCTAAAAGTTGTTATCTGGAACGGGCCGTTCTAGACCGGAACGGGCCGTTCCAAACCAAACAAATGGCCTAAAATCTGTACCCCAGAACGGGCCGTTCTGAAATCAGCACGGGCCATTCTGGTTCCCCGGAACAGCCCGTTCTGATTTCAGAACGGGCCGTTCTAGGATACGAAAATGGTACATAACGTTCGAATTCAGAACGGGCCGTTTTGGCCCATATCTGATGCCTATAAATAGAGATCTCGGGCATAGTTCTC